AAATGGGTTACTATCAAAGAGGATTTTGTTCACTTATCTGCTCTTTCCAGATCACTTTTCATCCTAGTTAATTCAAGAGTTATTCTTCTAGAGTTTTCCTTTTCTAGTTTTAAGTTATTTTTGAGTTTGTCGACTTCAAGTTTTTTGTCAGGCAGTTCACCCCCTTTTTCTTTACCGAGAACTTTTAGTTTTAGATTCTCAGTTCTTAGTTCCAGATTGTGAGATTCAAGTTGCTTGATTTTTCCTTGTAGGTCATTGTTGTTTTTATTAAGATCAATATACTCAAACTTTAAGCTAGACATGGAAGGAAACAATTGGTTCTTGATGTTGACAAGTTCTTGAATTGTGTCTATGGAAGCAAGCAATAGGAATGAAAGTTTTTTCTTAGAGAACTTTACTACTTTATCTTTTAGGTCAAGAAGATTTACCTCAGTTTCTTCAGAGTCTGATTTAGGTTAAGGTTCTAATTCTTCTATTGCAATCAAATCAATGTCCTCATCATCTTCTTCATACATGTCCGAAGAACCTGTTCCCTAAGCTGAATACATTGCTTGTTCTTTTTCTTTGTTTTTTTTATTAAGTAGTTCTTTCTTCTCTTTTTCAACTTTTTCCTTTTTCCATTCTAATTTCCACATTGGGTAGTCCTTGTTTTAATGATTTGTTTTACCACACTTGAAGCAGCCTCCGCTTTGTGGCCTCTCAAGATTTTTTTCTTTCATAGGTGGTGATTTTTTGCTAGCATTTAATCCCCTTTTGAAGAATTTGTTATTTGTAGTTTTGACAGGGACCTTTTGAAGGTACCCGGTTCTCAACTTGAATAGTTCGTTGACTGCCATCTGGAGAAGGTACAAAAAGTTGGTGCACAGTTCCCAACTGCGTTAGAAACGTCAAACCTTTCCAACCAATGGCAGGGGTTTAAGGAAAGTGACTTGTCTATACAATGTCATCTTTCCATACATTGCTCTTTAGTTTTTGCAACTTGAAAAAGCACATTCAAGAACTCTTGCAAAGGCTTAAGAAAATCAAGGAGAAGAATCTTTCAAGAACAACCTAAACTCAGGCGTATATTGTGTAGTTGTTTGAGAATATATTCTTTCGGTCTTACATTGTAAACTGATCCTAAATCTATAAAGGAATCAGTGTGATTTGATTTGAGATTCTAAGTTAGTTGAACTAATTTAGTGGGTAACCGTTGTGTTGCTTAGAAAATTCTAAGTTGTCTAGAGTGATAGCTTAGTGAGTAGAATAACATCTACTTAGGATCATCAAGCAATAGAGTTATTGCTTGTTTGTGAGATTAAATTTTTTTTCTCACATTTGTGTAACCGGTTTACTTTTGCTTGTGAAGATTAGTGAAACGGTTGTGAAAATTGCATTTACTTAAGTAAGGAGGTTTTCACGGAAAACTCCTCTGTTGTTAAATTGCATTTACTTTCTGTTATATCCTTATTTGTGTGTCAAAGGACCTGGTCCATTGACTGATAGTGAACTCACAGATTCTAATAGAATTTCTTGAAGTTCTTACTTATCAATGCCATATCATCATCATCTATGTCAGATTCATCACTTTCAGTTGCTTTAAGTCCAAGATTTTTCTCCTTCACCTCTTTTGTCAACTTCATCACATAAGTTTTGAGATTTTCAACTAATTCATCCAGAGTCATATTTGTTAGATCCTTGGCTTCTATTATTGCAGTGACTTTTATTTCGCAAGACCTAGGCAGAGTCCTAAGTACTTTGTCAACCTGTTCCTCGATGGTGTAAACCTTGCCCAAATATATTAGTTCGTTTACCACAATGGTGAATCTGGTAATCATGTCTTGAAGAGATTCTCCGGACTTCATCTTAAAGGCTTCATGTTCAGAACAAAGTCTGACAATACTTTCAAACTTGAGTAGTGCCTTCATGAGCATTTTGTAAGGCATCCCATATTTGTTTAGAAGAGGTACAACTTGAGCTACGATTAAACTCATCATGTCCTTGTCCACATACAAGAATGCACTTAGCTTTTGCATTCTTTCCTAGCTTCTTGTAATCAACTTCATCGTATTTATTTGTGGGTTTAAGTACTTTATTCCTTCGCTATCAGTAATAGTAGGAGTTAGTGGTTTCTTAGTAATTCTCATTTATAGTTCGTAGTCTTTAGTTTGAATGGAGTCTTCCATCCTTGCCTTCCACCACAAATAGTTGTATATTGAATAATGGAGGTCTGTTGATGTGTTGTCCTTGACCATGTCCGAGCGGAGGTGCAAAACTCATGTTGATCTTATCTTGAGTTATTAGACTCTTCAAAGATAATATCGCTCTGATACCACTTGTAGGAATTCTACCCTCCTTAATTTTTCACAAGAACACGTATAGACAACTTGTTTCTGTTTGTGTAAAACTTAACAATGAACAAATCACAACAACACTTTGTATTATTTACAAACTTTGAACAATACAACAATTACAAACTCCGTAACCTAAGAAATTATAAAATCTAATTTTTTCTACCCAAGACATAAAACTAATCCCTAGTTTTGTATCTTCTAACGCTCTTCAACTTGTCAAGCAACTCCTACTCACACAACTTAGATTTTAAACAAGACTCTTGAATATAACCTTACAATTTTCTCAACTCGCACCACTCAAAAGTAATTATCAAAACTCTCTTAAAGCTCTTGATTGTGTTTTGATCTTATCTCTATGTAAGTGCATAATCTTTCTCAAGCGAAACTATCACCCTATTTATAGACTTGAAACTTCAACAAGTTCTTGATTAATTCAACTTTGTCTTTTGCCACTACACAGACCTTGTTGAACTTGAATTAATCTTCACAATGAAAATCTTGTTGAACTCGAAATAATCTTCACGTAGAAATCCTCGTTGCTATTGACTTAAAAAAACTTTTCCACACAATTTCCTTATTAAATAAGGAAACACACCTTTCCTTATTTAGGTAAGAAAATTTTATTTAACCACATTTCCTTATTAAATAAGAAAACATGTTTTTCCTTAATTAGGTTAGAAAATTTTATCTAATGTTAATCTTTAACTCCAATTCCATTTTCAACTTGATTTCACTGAAAACATGTTGCTACTACCTATTTTGGGAAATACATAATTTTGCCATATTCGAAAAACAACATGAGTTTAACACCTTGCAAATGAGTGGCACCTCTATTTATACTACCACCTAAGGATTAGAGTGCAATTAATATTTACTTTGTAGGTCCCTAAGATATTTACACATTGATCCCCTTTTCTTGAGAATCCTACATATTCCAGAATATTCTAAGATATTCTTGAAATATCTAGGGTGTTCTAGTATCCGCCACAAGTCTCCCTTCACTTCTAGAGTCTTCTATGCCTCTCCGGATGCAAATTTTTACTGGAATGGTAGCGGGACATGACACTTGATCTCAACTAACATAATAGGTGTCGTTATTCGTTAATTAATATTTTTATTTATATTAAGATGGTATTAGAGATTGTTTAATTTGTAATTTATTCGTCGCTAGTTTGGAGAAACTTTTTTTTAACAAGGTAAGCGAGATTTTAAGATTTGGTTCTTATTTTTCAAATTTGATTTGAAAAAGATGTGTTTTATCTATTAGGTTCATGTGTTGGCACAAGCCTGTGTTTGACAGAATTAATGATTTTCGATCAGTTACAAATACGTTATATTTTGTGAAGAATACTAAAAATTATTTAATATTGTATGTGATATGACATGGTCTTGTATCATGGCATTGGATCCTTTATTCGTTGTTGTTAATTATATAGTTACTAGGTGCATTCATAGCTAGCATAATATGTAACGGGAATAACTAAGCTAACGTAATATATTAGGGACCTTATCCATGTTGTCACTCTATACTTTTGAGGCATTATATATGCTTTCGTGAAGTTATCCATATATTAGAGTAATCTCTTTTAGACTTCATTAACGTTTATGATAAGACTTTGAGAAATATATGTAGTGACCTTTACAAACATTTGTTTAGACATTATTGACCATTATATTACAAAATGTATCTTGTATATATCGTTTTAAAAGTTAATCTTGATATTTGGAACCTTAAGGGGCCGTTTGGTTACTGTATAAGAGACATTTTATTCTGGTATAAAAGTTGCATTAGCTTTACTATGTTTGTAGAAGTTTTGTATTAGGTATAAAAGTCAACATATTTTATACCATGTTTGGTTGCACTTTTGTAGTCCTATATAATTAATACCAATATAACTTATCAGGGAATCTATATATAAAGTTATGCAGGGTAGAAGGTAGAATAAGTTATGTGGGTAATAGTTATACATTTATTAAAGTGATAAATTACATATTTACCCTATTAATTTATTTTTTTGTTTTTAATTGGAAACTTTGTTGATTTCCTATATATAGTTTGTTGTTTTTATTTCTTTTTTATATTTAAATCATTTTTATTTATTTTAATTTCTGTTATTTTTTTAATTGAAAACTTTATTGTTTCCTATCAATACTTGTTGTTTTTATTTCTTATTATATATAGATTATTTTCATTTTTTTATATACTTATGATTTTGATTGATTTATGCAAATATAAATATTTTTTTAGTGTATATTTTTAAATGGTACATATGCTAATCACAATATTAACATTATATTTTATTCAATATATTTCACATTTTATTAGCATGTATTATTATTTTGTAAATAATATATATTAATAATTTACAACAAGTTTAATATTGTAATCTCTACGTAACTAAATAATATCAACAAAACTAATATTCACATAACCAATATTCGCATAATTAAACCTAATATGACCAAACTTGTATAACTAAACCCTATATAGCTAATATATGCATAACTAAACCCACATTACTAAAACCTGCATAACTAAATCATGCATAATTAATACCTGCATTAACTAAACTCTGCATAGCTAATACCTGCATCCTAAGTATACAAGTTCTAAAATTGGGGATGACCAAACATAATGGTGCTATTTTTAAGATCTAACCATAAACCACAAAATATTTAATTAGTAGTAATGTTGGGCTATGCTTTAAACAGTTAAACAGTGTGGAAGCTGCTATTAGAAATCGACGAAACCCTTAACCCTAAATTGTTACAACTACTATAAAATCACAGATGTTTTCGTTGCTAGGGAAAAGAGGAATCTCTTTCTACAAAGAATTGAAGAGAATCTCTATTCAGGTATGCTCAATCTCTTCCTATTTGCATAATTTTTATTTTTTTTATATTACTCAATATAATTTTGTACCTTACACATAGTGCCCTGTTCAACTGAAGTCCCTTCATGCTTAATGAAGAGTACGTCTGCTATACTTTCTTTATCCTCCTTTGGGACTACAATTGGTATCTTGTTGTTTCAGAAGTTTCTCTCTTTCACTTTACTTCCGAAGCAGATGATGAGTTACTCGGATTCCCCTTCTAGACATCATGGGTGATGCAAAAACCGAGTTTCTGATGCAGTGTATATGGATGGGACTTTGCATTTTCCTTTCTGACTCACTATTTATTGAGTTCTTACATTTGTTTCATGTTCAAACTGGTGCTGTATTTCTGAAATTGTTTCTTCTTTGACTTTACTTAAAAAGCACATGATGAGTTACTCGGATTCCCCTTCAAGATATCATGGGTGATGCAAAAATCGAGTTTCTGACGCACTATTTTATTCATGGGATGTTTGGAGTTTTTACATCATTTGCTGTTTGTTTTTTCTTCAAGTGTGGATGCAATTCAAAAATATTGGCAGGTGCGTGTCAGGTTCTCCAAAAGTAGTGTATTTTTGGAGAATCTGGCACGGGATCTACATCGAAAGTGGAGAGCGCAACTTAGGATGGAAGACTATTAATTCTTTTCAGCTTTATAGTAACAATAACTATAGGGACAAGGAATTATGGCTATGTTAATACATTTCGTTTCAATATTTCATTGAATCGACACTAGATTGTTATCTAGTTTGTTGTTACATCTTCGGTATCAACTTTCATTTGCTGCTTTGACCTGCTATATTTGCCATACCAGTAAGTAGTTGTCTATCTGTTTGTCTGGTAGAGCTGAAACTTTTGTAATGCTTAAGCAGAAAAGAAGTTCATCATTTGATTCTTTTGGGATCTTCACAACGGAATCTTTCCAGTGGATCCATGAAATGTGTATTTTGGATTAACCCTTTCACGGGCAAAGATTTTAGCTCTCAATGCATCACACTTCTTAAAAGTTGGAGGGCATTTTGACATATCAATTAAGGTATGTATTGTAGTTAGACACTTTATACCACAGTTACTATTTGATGTAGTGAAGATAACTCGTGATTCTAGGACGAGATCAATTCTCTTTTGTCTGGGAAAGCCTTGTCTGTATGATTTTTTCATATGTAAGATTTTCTTCTTGTTATAGGCAAACTACATAGCTTAAACCGTGCCTGCTGAGGCTGTAGAAGGTACAAGTGGAGCAGCTTAAACCTAGGGAGCAAGTCACCCTCGAACCTAATGAAAGAGACCATGCTTGTGTTGTAGATGCCTATCGATCAGGTGCCCAAGAAGCAAAAGGTTGCTGCCTAGTTGCTAGTTTTCTTATTGATGTGGTCAGGTTTTCTAGTGAGGAGGTTACTTATGTTTTATTTAAAGCATTACCAATGTTACTGTGATTTGACAGAAGGTCTTAATTTTTTCTTGTTAAAGTATTTTCATGTTACAGTGATTTGATCTGTGTCTCAATGTTTGACGAAAGATGATAATACTGATGGTGGTTGGTTGGTGCAAGTTGTAAAAAGTAAGAAGTTAAAGATTTTTATATGGAAAAAATACTTTCATTTCTAAGGTGTGGGTTGTATCGTCATTTAATTGTCTTATTCCTCTTGCGTTCATGTCTGCTCTTTGTATTGAATGCCATAAACATGTAGTGATTTACCTTGTACCCAACTTACAAAGACTATATAGGTGGCCTTGTTGAGGTTTCAAGGTGAGTTCTTGAAGCATGTACCAGTAATGTTCAAGGTTTCAATGTAAGATGTACTACAACAACACTGGCAGTGTGATACAAGTGTTGCTTGGGGAGGGTAGCGTGTATGCTAACTGTATCACCCTACCTTAGGAGGTACTGAAGCTATAATTGCTAGATCCTTGACTCAAGGACAAGAACATCTAATTCAGGAAAAGAAACAACACAAGCGAAGGTGCCATGACAATATAAGAAGTCTAGATTGCCTTAATTAACTTGTAGGCCAATTCACTTTCATCTGATGATCATTGATTCTTTAACGTATTGTCTGTCTACATATTCGTAATCAAATAACAGAAGAGAAAAGGAAAAGGAATATGAAATCTGGTTTCATTATCAAACAAGAGACGATATACCAAATACAATACATGTTTGAGTCTGGAAAATTTTTTGAAGTTCACCTGGACTAAAACAAATAGTCTTGAATGTCTCAAAATTGATGTTAGCTGGGACATAGTAATATGTGTTTTCATACACAATATATTTGGTAGGTGCTGGTAAATTTTCCAAGTTTCAAATTTTGAAATTCAAACAGCAGGCTACTGTCATCACCCTCCTCGTAGCATTCTGCAACCTTAAGACACACCATTCTCAACAGACCATCAGGCGATCAGCCTGTGATTTCTCAATTTCTAAATCTTGACCTCCCCACTTCCGCATACGCTCATTCGTCTCCTCAACCTGCATGTTTAGCTCCTTTTTTAAGATACTTCAAAGCAAACAATTTCATGGATGTTTTTCCTTGGACAAAACTTTTGGTTCATAATCATGACTAGTGATTGTGCTTAATATGATTTATGTCTTGAGTTATTAACTTAGCACAACTTCTGTAACTAAATCAGTATTTGTCTCTAAGACCAATATTAACTTACCACAACTTCTGTAACTAAATCAGTATTTGTCACTAAGACCAATACCGATAAGTTCCAATTAAAATACTATAGCTTACAACCCCAAACATACTAGTTACTATCCTGATAAAACTACAAGGCTGATAAGTCTGCTAAACAACTAAACAAATGGCAAACTAGCAAGACGATTACAGTACAGTAAGAGATAAGATTCCAAATATATGGAAGATTATTTGAAATAGTGTTTGTTTATCAAATCTGCTCATTATTTCAACTTCAATCTTGAAAATAGAATTTGAGGTTTGAAAAAAGATATTCCGAGTCTTTTCAAGTCTAGTCTCACAAATCGTGAACGGTGTTTTCGTGTCAAACGAAATTTCAACATTCAAATACTATTTTCATTTAGATGCATGTGAATTCCCTACGTTATTTTAGTTAAAAACTAGAAGCTTGCCCTCTGGTTCTGTTCATTACTTGATCTACACATTAATAAAGTTGAATTCAATAGTATGAATCAAAAAGTCTATTTGCAGTATATCTATACCTCCTTGTTCCAATTTGTCTTATATAGTACAATCAAGAGTAGCACAGTCTGCAAAGATGTCCCAGCTATCATTCCCAGCCAAAGTCCCTGCAAGTTATTCAATCAGAAGTAAGATAAACTCAGTAGAAAGTAGATTTTAGCAACAAATCTGATGAGGTATAATGACAATAAATATGATCTAGCTTGTTTAATTAGTGATTCCCGGGGGAGGATTGTGTACATAATATCAACATGTCAAATAGACTTGCTAATGAAACACTCAAAAGACTTAACTTTACCTTTGCTCCCAACTTTGCCACATAGCCAAGAATAAATCCTAGAGGGAGTCCAAAAATGTAATAAGATCCCAGATTAATATAAGCCACTAAAGCTTGCCATCCACCTCCCACAGCAACACCTACAAAAGTACCTCACGCCTTAACATGGTAACAAGGCAATACAAATCTAAGAAACAGTTAATGTGAATCGAATGTGATACCTGATATAACAGGCTGAACACTGTTAAGAACCATAGTTATTCCGAGAAGGTAAGAAAGATCACCAACAGCTTGTTGCATATCTTTGCTGCTAGTAAATATAATGGCCAAATGCTCTCTAGCTACCATTACAATAACCATACAGAGTAGCCCAATTAGGAGTGACTGAAACACTGAGATGTAGACACAGTATTTAGTGGCCCTTGGACGTCCTAGGCCAAGCTCATTTGAGACCCGTACACTGGGGGAAAGTAAACAAGGAAAACAAGAAAGAGAAGTGAATAAGTTGAAAGAAGAGTATGAGATTAAACTAAGGCGATTGGATGAAAAAAGTAAACAAAATCAGCCGAACAAGTTTTCCTTCTTGTCATATGAAAATTTTGAGGTAACATAATTAAAGAAAGACGATCATGATAGGAAGCATATAATGTTAAGTAATTTTCTCCAGATTCTATGAGCATATAAATGAGCCCCTTCATCTACATATCTACATTTTGACTACTAAAGTTTACAGAACACCACCTCAACTGCAACACACGAGCTACAAAAACTACATGAAGTTGTAAATGCTGATCAAGACTTTTTACCTTATGGCAGCATTAACTCCAATAAACAACATGCCTTCATACCCATTGACATTCATGCTGTAAAACAAAAACAATCAATTAGAATGAGATATGAACATATATTGCATCACGCCTTCTATACCATTTGCTACATATATTGTATATCAAACATCATTCTTGGACACAAATAGACAGGACTTAAAACAAGATTTCACAGAGAATAAACTGGTGCAACAATAGAAGCATAAAGACTGGTAAACTCACCAAATAGAAATAGATCCAACTGCAATAACTGCATTGTCAAGATGGCCAACAAGGATGATAATACTCATCATATACCAAATTTCAAGACATAGCATAATGGCTGAGGCAATGGAGAGCCTCACAAAGGACCATATTTCGTTAAATGCTGCCCAGGACAATCCCTTCCACCCATCCTTACACCATCCAACAACATAAGCAAACTGAGCTATTGCCAAGACCCAACTTGTTAGGTTAAAGGCTATGGCAGCACCAGTCGTACCCCAGCCGAATGTGTAAATAAAGAGCCAAAGAAGTGTAGCATGCATGAGTAGAACTACAAATCCAATCCAGGCAATCACATCAACTTTGCTTTGGGCTTGAAGGAATTTGGAGGTAGGAAAATTGATGGAAAGCGAAAACAATTGGGGGATGATTAATATGGCATATTCCCCCGCAAGCTCAGCAATTTGAGATTCTTGGCCTAGTAGCTTAAGCACTGGGGTTGCAAATAGATATATTGGCAAGAGCAAGATACAAGTTACAAACAGAATAATGATAGAGCGTTGCATATAAACACCAAGCATGTGAATTTGACCTGCACCATATGCCTGTCCACACAGCGTCTCCAATGCACTTCCCATTCCCAACTGACCAAAAGATTATCAGTAATGTGATATAAAATAACTGTGACTCTGCCTATCAGTACGTAAGACACAAACTCACTCTCTCTAAACTGGAAATGCCATGTCAAAATTGGTAGATACTGATATTATCATATTAGCAACAAAATTTACGCATCTACTCTCATGTTAATATGGTTCAAGGTGCGAGAAAGTACTATGCTACTTAGTACGGTTCAATTTTATATGAATTCTAGATCCGCCTACCATTGCCATCAGTGGTGAAACCAGAAATTTCAGTTGAAGAATTAAATAGTGACCTGCATACTTTGTATGATTTTCAACATACACCTAATAATTTTTCTCTGAAATATTAGAAGTTTAGAGCTAAGAGAAGTAGAGTCAGAGGATTTATTGCTTATACAAAAAGTATCCTAGCACAATATAGAAAGAAGGAGCAGAGCGCCTAACCATGAACCCGAAAGAGAAGGTTCCAATGACTGATTGAGCAATAGAAATAGCAGAAAGCTCAATATCTCCAAGATGCCCAACGAATATATTAGTAAGTGAATTCACACCATATTGACAGATAATATTAAACGCTATCGGACCTCCAATCCTCCAAAGCTTCACACTCTCTACGCAGAAAATAGCCAACCATTCTCTGATATTTGTAATAGGCCGGTAATCTCCATCGTCGCCGATGATCTGTTGGTGGTAATGGTGTTCGTCGTCGGAGAAACCGTTAATCAACGGCGTCTCCTCCATGACTCTACCCTGCCGGGAATTAGTTACGTCTTCCGCTTTAAACTCTGTTTGTTTGTTTCAGTCAGTGGCCGTAACCCAAAATGCGTGTCTCTATTCAATAGAGGTAATACTCATCAACAACGTGAGCTAATATATATATATATATATATATATATATATATATATATATATATATAAGTGAGATTATTTTATTAGAGTTACTCTCTTAGTCCATTTTTATTTCTTTTTTCAAAAATTAATTAGATTCATTTTTAAATTAAATTAAATTATATTATATTAATTTGATATTTTAAATAAAATATTTAGATATTCAAAAATTATACTGAATTGCAATTTTTTATACGATGAAAAATACATTATAAAATGTAAAATGTTAATTAAAATTTTTATAATTTAACTTTTAAAAAAGGAAAATTATGATAATTAAAACGGGAAGAATAATATATTTTAATATGTGGGATTCATGTTTTTATTTTTATTCGTTTCCTTAAATCTATTTTGAAACCAATTTAAAAAGTTAGATTAGGCGCTTTCCAAAAATAATATTCGGATAAATTATTTTGTGATTTTATCATAATTAAATATAGAACAAATTTATTATAAAATTGATTTTGTAATTTTTGTCTTTTATATAAATCGGTCCCTTGTTTGAATGGTTGTTGACTTGTTGTTAGTTGTTTTGTGTTGTTTGATTAAATATAATTTTTGTTTTTCTAGTATTATTTAAATTTATTGGTAGGCAACAATGGAT